ACGAGGCCAACGCTGCAGCGGGAGCACCGTTTTGAAGTACCGAAAACACTCGGATGGTAGAAGCCACAAGAGAGGGCTGATGCAATTATGAAGTACACGGAGAGAATCGGCCATCTTCCGGACGGAGTCAGGGGATATAAGAAAATATAGGATACAGGGAGAAGAAAGAACATAGGGCACACCAGAAAGAGGAGGGACAACAATGGAGGAGGAGGAGGAGGAGGAGGAGGAGGAGGAGGAGGAGCAGCAGCAGGAGGAGGAGGAGGAGGACAATCAAGGAGAAGGAGGATGAGGAGGAACAGGAGGAGAAGGAGGAATAGGAGGAGGAGGAGGAGGAACAGCAGGATCAGCAGGAGCAGCAGGAGCAGGAGCAGGAGGAGGATGAGGAGGATGAGGACAAGAGGCGCGCCGAGGTGGGGCCCGTCCTCTCCCGAGGGAGGGCGGGGCCCACGCCTTGACGCCGGCGCATGCAGGCGCCCACCGCCTCCTCTGTGAATAACCTCCTCCCCCAGGTGCTGCATAGTCAGGAGAGAAAAAACACACAGACACAATTAATCGTCGATTCCCCCGAACATATGGGAAAAGATGGGCAGTGGGGGGAAGACAAAAACCAAGAAAATATGGGAAACTATAGGGAATATTTTTATTTGTGTGTATTTATTTGTGTGTCCTGGGGCCCCTTCACATAGGCCTGTCCTTCGCCGACCGTATGCCCTGCTGTGACGCTGGACTGTTTTTCTCTTGCTCTGGCCACGGGGCGGTCGCCCGTCGTATGGCCAGTGCCTCCTAGCCCATGGGGCTGCTGGAGGTACTCTTTGGGTCAGTGAGGTCTCCCTCACTGCCAGCAGCGGTTTCCCAGCCGCCGCTGCTGTGTTCACCAAGGCTGTGCGGGCGTTGAGCTCAACTTCTTCTCCCCTGGCCTCGTGGTTGCGCATGTCTACAGTCACAAGGGTACGATGCAATACATGACAGCTGGTTGATCCTGCCTTTCTCTGCTGAAGAATGGTCGGTGCTTGAAGATGGTTCCCGCGACGTCCCCATGCGAGCGCTACGGCGCTGCGCACCCATCCCCGTAGTCAGGACAGCTCTGCTGAGGCGGCGCCCTCCCCCTCCCCCTCCCCCCCTCTCCTCCTCCTCCTCCTCCTCCTCCTCCTGACCTCTTGGTTGCTCTTGCCCTCCCCCCCAGCGCTGGCCGGGAGGAGGGTTTCCGAGGGCGCCACGTCATGGTCGGGAGAAGCAGCTCTGAGCTCTGAGGAGGATCTGCGAGGTTTTAGGAGGATCTGAGGAGGATCTGCGAGGTCTAGGATCTGAGGATCTAGGAGGATCTAGGAGGATCTAGGAGGATCTGAGGCTCTAGTAGGATCTAGGAGGATCTGAGGATTTGTGACGTCTGAGCTCTGAGGAGGGTCTGTGAGGTTCTAGGAGCTTCTCCCCCCACTGGCCCGACAGGGAGGCGGAGCAGGAGGTGTGCGAACAGCAGCAGCAGCAGGAGAAGAGGAGGGCGTCGCCACTCACAGGGCGCTTCGGCTCTTGATGCAGCTCGCGGGGCGCCGCCTTCGAGAGCATGCTTCCCTCCAGGGCTGGACCTAAACGGTGTTGTTTGGCGATTTCGTGTGCCGTTTTCGTTTCGACTTCGTTTTACGGAAAAGGCGGATGGAAGACAAACGCGAGGGAGAACGACAACAAAACGAACATACAAAACACCGTTTAGGTTCAGCCCTGCTTCCCCCACTCCCCCCAGCTCCAGTCCCGGAGCAGGCGTGCCGTCGCGCGCGCGCCGCCATCGAACGCAGTGCGGCGCGGAGGGTCGGGGGCGGACGAGAGCGAAGAGGAGGAGGAGGAGGAGGAGGAAAAGGAGGAGGAGGAGGAGGAGGAGGAGGAGGAGGAGGAGGGGAGGGAGGAGGAGGAGGGAGGGGTAGGGGCAGGGGCAGGAGGAGGGGCAGGAGGAGGGGCAGGAGGAGGGGCAGGAGGAGGAGGAGGAGGAGGAGGACGACGAGGAGGAGGAGGAGGAGGAGGAGGAGAAAAAGGAGGGGGGTGAAGGAGGACGGGGTCCAGGTGTATGGTCTGCATCGCGCGTGGAGGGTACGCCTGGGCCGCCGCGCTGTCCCTTGCTAGACCGTGCCGCTGGAGGCCGCCCACTAAGCACACGAGGCGCCTGTTGATCCGAGCCTGGGGGGGGATTTTCCGTCCTGGGGGGCCCCATATCGGGGCTGGCGTCCCGGGCCGCGGAGCCCACGGCCGCGAACTTGCTGTCCCTTGTTGCCCCTCGTGGCCCGATCCTCTCGCCTGCCCGTTCAGCCCGCGGTCGCGGGAGGACTTGCTGAGACGGTTCGGTGTCTCGGTTGAGCAGCTCGGAGTTCGGAAGCGTGTTGAGCCTGAGGCTGTCTCGGACTGGGGCGGATTCGCTGGAGACGTGGCTCGCCGCTTCCTCAGCTGCCTCCGTCTTCTGACGTCCCCCCCGCGCGCCGAGCTCGATGGCTGGGCAGAGGAGGGTGAAGGATGGAGAGGGAGGGTGGAGGAGGAGGTGGAAAATCACACAGACACAATTGATCGTCGATTCCCCAGAAGATTTGGGAACATACAGGAATTGGGGGGAGGAGACAAAAAACCAGAAAATAGGGGAAACTAGGGGGATCCTGTTATTCGTGTGTATGTATTTGTGTGTCCCAGGGCCCCTTCAGGTGGAGGAGGAGGGAGGAGGACGAGACGCGAGCGGACGCGAGGAGCCTCGCCCGCGGGGCGCGCCCCGCAGACGTCCCCCATGTAGGAGGGGGGCCCCCGGCGGCCGGCCGCCGCCGCCGCACGCGGGCGGTGCTGGCCCCGCCGTTCGGCACGCGCTGCTCCAGCAGCTGTCGCTCCGTGTGCCTCCCTGGTGGGCTCGTCTCCCACCGCCACCACCACAAGCAGGAGGGGGGGTCCTCCTCCTCCTCCTCCTCCTCCTCCTCCTCCTCCTCCTCTTCCCCTCTTCTGCCTCCACCTCCTTCCCCCCTCCAACCTGTGGTGGTGGTGGTGGTGGAAGAAAAAGGCCCATCACTCCTGGCGCCAGGGAAGTCACCTGCGTGCAGCTGATTCGCCCGACCCCCCTTCAGCGCTCATTCCGACCCCTCCGATTTGGTTCGGGCTCGATCCAGGTTCGGCTGCGGGTGTCGGTCTGGATTCCGATCTCTTCGTGGAGGCCGACCAGCCTGCTGATTTCCGCCGATTCGACTTCTTTTGGTGTGGCTGCCGGCTTCCGCCGATCCGATTCATGTCGACCCCCGTTCCGTCTTATCGATCTGATTCTGGGCTCTCCTGCCCTTTGCTAAGTCCCCGGTTCGTCCACCCCGAGAATCGGAATGGGTACGGAAAGGATGGGGACGAGGACCGGCTGTAGGTACTTCGTGCACACTATAAGCAGGTCTCGCTGTTGGTATCGCCGCGGCCGTTGTCCGCTCGAGTCAAAGAAGCGCCTGCCCAGCATCGGCTGTTGATGCTATTTGGAAAATCGTTCGTTGTAAATCAGCGCGCCATCTGTTCCGTACCGACTTCGCTCGGGGGTGCCAAGAACCCGATGATCATAACGTCACGCTGGTGATACGTTGCCATCTATCCTTGATCCCCTCGTGTCCCGCACGGGCTCCAGAGACGAGGACTTGGGGAAACCAAGAGGTACCGAAACCGCTACTCCCCAGGCCTCTTCCGGGGTGCGTTCTGACAAGGATTTCGAGGCGAGTCCAGCGGTGGCGACGATGGCCTCCCAGGAGGCCCAAAAAGGGGGGAACGAGGGAAGGGTCGAGGTATGGGTACCTTTTCCTCTGAGAGGACTGGTGTGTTCCAGAGCTCCCGGAATCGAAGACGAACAAGCACCAGATGCACGATGGTCGGAGGTCTGCGCGGATATTCGGCAGATCGCGCTGGGCCGCACCTCCAGCGCCACCGCCTTTGCGCGCTCCGCGAGCCAGGGAAGGAGGCGGAGGAGGAGGAGGAGGAGGAGGAGGAGGAGGAGGAGGAGGAGGAGCAGGAGGAGGAGGAGGAGGAGGAGGAGGAGGAGGAGGAGGAGGAGGAGGAGGAGGAGAGGAGGAGGAGGAGGAGGAGGAGGAGGAGGAGGAGGAGGAGGAGGAGGAGGAGGAGAGGAGGAGGAGGAGGAGGAGGAGGAGGAGGAGGAGGAGGAGGGGGAGGAGGAGGAGGAGGAGGAGGAGGAGGAAGAAGATGACGAATAATAATAACAATAATACGAATACTACTACTAATAATAATAATAATAATAATAATATTAATAATAATAATACTAATAATAATATTAGTAATAATAATAATGATAATAATAATAATAATAATAATACTAATACTAATACTAATAATAATACTAATAATAATAATAAGAATAATAATATTAATAATAATAATAAGAATAAGAATAATACTAATAATAATAATAATAGTAGTAATAATAATAATCATGCTACTAATATTATTATCAATAATAATAATAAGAAGAAGAGGAGGAGGCGGAGGAGGCGGAGAATGGGCAGGGGCAGGAGGAGGAGGAGGAGGAGGAGGAGGAGGAGGGGGTGGTGGACGGTTCGGCGCCGAGCCGAGGAGCCCGCGCGGAGCTCAGAGATGCAAAGGCCCACGCCGCTCTTCCCTCCTCCGTGCCTCGAGCCCCTGTCCTCGGGAGGAGTGCCGTGCGCCGTGGGGCGCCCGGGGACCGATGCTGGGCGGCCCTGCAGACGGCGGCGCCCGGCAGCGCCGAGGACGGCGACGACACGACGACGACGACGTCGACGACGGCGGCGGCGCACCTCCGACGTCGAACGGACTTCCGTCTGGCGGCGGCGGCGGCGGCGAGGATCGCGAGGGGCCGGGCCGGCTCCTGTTCCGCCTCCCCCTTCTCCTCCTCCTCCTCCTCCTCCGCCTCCTCCTCCTCCTTCCCCTCCTCCTCCTCCTCCTCCTCCTCCTCCTCCTCCTCCTCCTCCTCCTCGTGCGCCCGCGAGCGCGAGGTGTTCGACGAGGAGCGGGCCATGCAGAGCCTCAGCAACACGTGGAGCTCCCAGGCCTGGGCCCGGCCGCCTGCGGCCCCTGGTCGAATGAGAAAACACGCCATGAATTCATTCTTTTGGCGCTCCGCGCGGATTTCTCGGATCCGCGCTGGGCCCCCCAGCGGCGCCTCCGGCGCCGCCCCTGGTGCGCTCCGCGCGCCAGCGAGGGGGGTCCAGCGCAGATCCAAGAAGTCTGCGCGGAGCTCCAAAAGTTTATGTTTATAGCCAAGCCAGAGAGGCAGCACGCCCCCCTGCGTGTTCGCTATAGTGCCTGTGGCCAACCTTGGCGCCCTGCCCGCAGGAAGCGAGAGTGCGTTAGTTTGCATATGAGGAGTGCGTTATCCGGCTTCGGTCAGTCCTACGGATAATGTTGGAAGTGCCTCCACCCCTTCCACTGGCGCTGTAAAACTGTTTTGGGGGTTTGCGCTGCGGGGCCAAAGTGCCTCGGGGGTGGAATGAAGGTCAACATTAACGGGGCCTGCCGAACCAGCTGAACGATCTCCTTACGTTCGTAACCTTTTGCGCCCCGGGCAGCCTGCCGAGAACGCCTCGCGTTAGATGCTGACGTCGGTCTTTGCGTGAATTTACGCATCGACGGCCACTGGGGAAGTCATTACTAACGCTCCTCCCACTTTACTTGAGCGTGTGCGCCAACATCCAGAATCGAAGGTTGGCGCCCCCACTTACATGCATTTTGGAGCTCTTTGCGCTCATAGGTGAAAAGCGCGCGATCGCCCTCCCCTCGCCTAGGTCGGGATCTCCTCTACAATTTCACACCTATGATAGTACATTCGCTCAGCGGACACTTCTGACCATGTCCCCACGTTTCGCCTCATCGAAACGTAGCGTGGGGCCTCTACTGAATAGTTTACCAGTGTAACATGATCAACAAGACCTTAAACATAACCTTTGCCTATGAATTCCTTTCTTGCAGATGCTAGAATAACTTGACAAACCGCTGATGCACAACCACGCTGCCCACATAGGCCCCGCACGCAGCCCAGAGAGGCCCCGAGCGCGCCCACAGAGGCCCTGCCACATTGCTCACTCAGGGTCCCTTGCGCAGCCCACTGATGCCCCGAACGCGCCCACTGAGGCCCCACCACGCAGCCCACTAGGCGCCACCGACATCCTCATGTGGGATAGCCCAGTAGCATAATTTTCTTTCGCTTGCGCTACTTGCCCTCATGGTTGTTCAGAGCACTTGCGCTTGAAAGCGGGTGTGCGGAATACGATGCATTGAAACGAGCGTTTCTGCTTGCCGGAAGCTCCCCGTAGGGATTTCCACCCAAGGCCCCATGCAGTTTTGCCGACGGCCCCAGTGGCAACGATCGAATGGCGGCACCGACCCATCCCGGCACATATTTTCACATGTTTCGCGGCAGCGGTCCGGTTTCGTAGCCCCCATATTCGGTTCGGTGGAGCATTTGAGGAGAGAGACGGAGGAGGAGCACGAGGAGGAGGAGGAGGAGGAGGAGGAAGAGGAGGAGAAAAAGGAGGAGACGGAGGGGAGACGCAGGGCGTGGAGGAAAAGGAGGAGGAAAAGGCGGAGGAGGAGGAGGAAGAGGAGGAGGAGGGGGAGGAAGAGAAGGCAAAGGAGGAGGAGGGGGAGGCGTCGAGGAGGTGGAGGAGGAGGCAAAGGGTTTCGGCACACCCCTCACACGTTTCGTGGCAGTGGTCGCGTGGCGGCGCCATTGAATATCGGCACAGTCCTCACGCTCCGTGGCCCAAGCGGGAGCTCGATGGAACGAAGGCAGATAAAAAAGAGGAGGAGGAGGAACAGTTGGATGAGGATGAAGACCAGGAGGAGGAGGAGGAGGAGGAAGAAGAGGAGGGGTAGGAGGCGCAGGACCAGTAGCAGTAGAAAAAAGATATACATAATATGGCGAGGACCAAGAGGAAGAGAAGGATTTGGAGAAGGAGGATGAGGAGTTGGACGAAGGAGGATGAGGAGGTGGCACGCGCTGGGAGATGACCAGGAGGGGAGGGAAAGCAGAACGATCACGAGCAGGAGGACGATGTTCAGAGAGGGTCACGACGCGAACGATAATGAGGACGATTGCGGAGGAGACCTCGTCGATCTTTGATCTTTGACATGTGTTCCTGCTCCTTGATATTCGGTCCTTCTTCCTCGTTCTCATCTTCTTCTCGATCCTCGATCATCGGCTCGATTTTCCTGATTGCTCCTCGATCATCGATCGTGGATCCTCGATCCTTGATCCCTCCTCATCCTCCTCGGTGATCGAATATCTATCCCTTCTCCTCATCCTTGATCCTCGATCCCTCCTCCACCTCCTTTCCTTACTGGACCCTCTATGATCGATCCTTGGTCCCTCCCTTCCTCGATTTCTCCTCTTCTCCTCCTCCGATCCTTGATCCTCGATCTCTTCTCCTTGACCCTTGATCCTCAATCACCACTTTTTCTCGACCTTCGAACGCTCGTCGGCCCTCTCTGCCTTCTCAGCGTTTTATTCCTCCCCTTCCTCCGTCTCTCCTCCATTTCCTCCTCCGTTTCCTCCGGTCCTTTTCGATCCCCGATATTCGTGCATCGATCCTCCTTCTTCTCCTCCTCCTCCTCCTCCTCCTCCTCTTCCCCCTCTTCCGACTCCTTCCTCCACCCTCCTCCCTCCGCCTTCCACCCTCCTCCCTACTGCGGAGTGTTCGCACTACCGCCCCGCTAACACTCAGCTAACATCCCACTAACGTTTCACTGGCATGTCACTAACGTTTCACGAACGTAGTGCGGCCGCACTAGCTTGCCTTGCGAACAGTAGCAATTCTTGCCCGCATCCTTGGCGCCAGTGCAGCAGTTTTGTCCGTTACAGTCAGTCCTTCGTAGCCGGTTGCCGAGGGCCGTTCCAGATTTGACCAGCCAGAGGTTGAATCAGATGCGCAATCCAAATTCCTTCCGCCGCCTCCCATCCTCTGCGATTCTGATCCCGCCTCTGCCCCATGGAGACGGCTCTCAGGTGAGGGGAGGGCCTGCTTCACGAGGGGAGGATGAGGAAGGGGAAGCGGAGGATATGGGATGGAGGGGGAGGGGGCATAGTCGAGAAGAGAATAAGGAGGGAGGATCAGGATGATGAGAAGAGTGAGGAGGAGCAGTACCAGGAGCATCCGGAGCACCAGGAGTAACAGGATGATGTTGTTGCTATGTGCGACCCTGATGATAATTGTGATGCTGATGATCGTGACGATGCTGATGATGCTGATGATGATGTTGATGGCGATAGCGATTGTGGTGATGATGCTGGTTACGATGATGCTGGTGATGATGATGAAGCTGATGATGGTGATGCTGATGATGGCGATAATGATGATGGTGGCGATGATGATGCTGCTGATGCTGATGCTGATGCTGATGATGGTGATGATGCTGGTGATGATGATGATGACGGCGATTTTGATGGTGATGTTGATGCTGGTTATGATGATGTTGATGATGATGCTGACGATGGCGATGCCGATGATGATTACGATGATGATGGTGGTGATGATGATGCTGCTGATGCTGATGTTGAGGCTGATGCAGATGATGGCTCTGATAGTGGCGGTGGTGTTGATGATGATGATGATGGCGATAGTGATGATGCTGATGATGGTGATGATGATGATGCTAATTATGAGGATGATGGAAATGATGATGACGAGGATGATGATGATGATAAGGGTTATGCCGATGATGATGCTGATGCTGATGATGATGCTGATGTTGCTGACGACTGCTGATGATGATGGTGATGATGGTGACGGTGATAGCGATGCTGATGATGATGGTGATGGTCATGATAATGCTGATGGTGATGATGATGGTGATGATGGTGATGATCATGATGCTGATGATGGTGATGGTCATGATGCTGATTCTGATGCTGATGATGATACAATAAAAGTTGTGGTGGTGGTTGTGATGATGCTGATGGTGGTGGTGGTTGTAATGGTGCGGATGATGGTGCTGACGATGATGCTGATGTTGAGGATGATGATGCTGCTGGTGATGGTGGCGATGGTGATGACGATGGTGATGAAGAAGATCATGATGATGATGATGATGACGATGATGATGATGATGATGATGACGACGATGATGATGACGATGACGATGATGATGATGATGATGATGATGATGATGATGATGATGATGATGACCATAAGGGAGATTAACATAAGGATAATGAGGATGAGGAGGAGGAGGAGGAGGAGGAAGAGGAGGAGGAGGAGGAGGAGGAGGAGGAGGGGGAGTGGGGAGGCCGATGATGGCGACGCGGAAGAGGTCGATGACCCGGAAGAGGAGGGCGGAGGACGAGCGGGGCCACGAGGCGGACGGCCGCGCCCGGCGAGGCGACGTGCCGGCAGAGGCGAGGCCGGTGCGGGCGGCTGCAGGAGGGGGTCATCGTCTACCTCTTCCCGCGCAGGCGCTGCCCGCGGGGAGCCCCGGGGGTGGCACCGTCGGAAAGGGACGTGGGGGCACGGGTCGGAGGCGGGCGGGGCGCCGAGGCAGGGACGGTTTTGGGGCTCGGGAGGGGCTCACAGCCCAAACAGCCCCCCCAAGAGGTAAAAAGATACTAAAACAATAGCCTCCAGACTATTTTTGTATTATTTTTTGATCGTTATCATTTTTGTTATTATTATTATTACTTATTAGTATGATTATTATTATGATTATTCTTATTATTATTATTTCTGTTTTGAATGTTATTTTTACTTCTAATTTTTATTAATTATAATTATTATATTTATTATTCGTAATATTATTAGTATTACTATTATTATTATTTTTATTAGTATTATTATTGTGTTTATTACTATTCTTATTATCATTATGATTATTATTATTGTAATTATTATTTATATTATTATCATTATCATCATCATTATTATTATCATTATTGTTATTATTCGTATTATCATTAATATTTTTATTTACCATTATTAGTATTATTATTATTAGTTTGTTTTGTTTAAACTGATTTGGGGGGTATTTCAGGAGCGGGAGAAGGACGCACATGTGCAGGAGTCCACGCGGGTTTCGAGAGTACGCATTGCGCGAGCGTTCGTGTCACGAGGGGGGTCTCGCGGACTGGGGGGCCGTGTCCATGCATGTGGTTGGGCGCGTACGTCCTCTGTGGGCTCCCTTTGCCTATCGGGCTGGCAGGGACCGTTTCGGTTCCTCGGTTCGGTTCCACTGATTTCGAGGGTTTTCGATTCCGCTTCGGCCGGATTTCGGTTTGCGATCTGGATTCCGATTTCTCATTGGAGGCCTACCAGCCCGCGGATTTCCGCCGATTCGATTCCTCCCGACTCGGCTGCCGACCTCTGCGGGTCCGATTCGTTTCGATCGCCGATCCGACTTGTCGATTCGATGCTGTGCTCTCGTGGGCAAGGGGGGCTCCCTCGTCTCTTGCCCGGCGCTCCTCCCCGGCACGACGAGGTCCGAGACGAGCCTGCGTAAGCGAAGGCTTTCGGAGCCCCGCGCAGATTTCCTGGATCGGCGCTGGGCCCCCCTCGCGGCGCCTGCGGCGCCGCCCCCGACGCGCTCCTCGCGCCACGGAGGGGCCCAGTCGCCGATCCGAGCACTCGGCGCGGACCTCCTGCGGCCTGCAGGTGTGCTGCTCCTACTGCTTCTGCTGATGGCGGGTCGGTTGTCGGCTCTGTTGGAGTCGTGTCGGATACAGCTCCCTCGAGGGCGCGAAGTTATTCGCGCTTCGCGGTCCTCGTTCCTTCTCCCCCTCCTCCTCGTCCTCCTTTTCTCCCTCTGGGGGGGCGGCGCGAGAGCGCGAAGTTATTCGCGCTTCGCGGAGCGCGAAGCGCGAAGTTGGGAGCCCTAGTGTCGGATACAGCCAGCACGCCGGTCCAGGTCCACCTGAGCTCCGGATGGGCGGTGGGCTGCCCCTCTGGCCCTCGCTGTTTGGCGCCCCACCTCGGGACGTTCGTGGTGTTGGCATCTCCACGGGGCTTTGGCCTCCGGCGAAGGGGCTCCCGCTCTTCATGCACGTCCTCGAGGACATGCCCCGACTGCAGCAGCAGCCGGGGCGCGGCAGAGTCAGCGGCCCGCCAGGCTCCGCGGGAGGGCGCCGCGCCCGGTGCGCTCCTGCTGCTGGCGGCCTCGGGCTCCGGCAGGAGTCCACGCCGCGAAGAGCAGGGCTCCCGAGGGCAGCGGGCCCCCCCCCCCCGTATAGGGGGCCACTTGCGAACCCTACCCCTACCCCCCACGATGTCTGAGGGGGAGGGGGGGGGGTTCACTGAGCTCGGGAGCTCCTGAATGAAGCGAATCCCCCTCAGAGATCCTGGGGGGCAGGGGTGGGGTTCGCAAGTGGCCCCCATACCCCGGCTTCGCGCCGTGTTCGGACTCGCGGTGCCCCGGGGCCATCGGGAAGCGACTCGGGGGGAGAGGCGGGTCCCAGGGAGCGCCCCGAGGGCCAGGATCCGTGCGCGCCTCCGAGGGAGCAGCGGGCGGGCGCGTCGCGCCCCTCGGCGGGAGGTCGGCGGCAGCAGCCGCGAGAGGCCCCCCCCTCCGCCCGCGGGCGCGCCAGCGGAGGAGCGGCTCCGCGGGGGCTCCGCGGCAGCTCCGCGGGAGCCACCACTTCGATTCTCGTTTCGGGGACCTTCCTGGAGCCCACCTAACGGATCTGTTCGACCCCAGTTCGACTCGAGTTCGACTCGAGTTCGACTCGAGTTCGGCTCGGGTTCGACTCAGGGTCGGCCCAACTCCACTGACGTTCGACGCAGCTTCGACGCACGAGTGGAGCGAGTGGCTCCAGGAAGGTCCCCAGAACGAGCATCCAACACCACGGGGGTGCGGCGTTCGTCGCGCGTCGCGCTCCGAGGTCCGGGCGATGTCGGAGCGGGGCGGCGCGCCGGCGCGGAGGAGCGGCTCCGCGGAGCCACCACCGGGGGTGCGACGTTAGGCGTAGAGTCGGGCCTGCCCCCCTACACGGGGGACTGTTCGGCGAAACATAGGACATACCCCCAACATAGTCCAAAAATGGTCCAAAGATAGTCTGGGGATTATTTTTTAGTATTGGTTCGCCTTTTTGTTTTGTTTTTTTGTAGGGTATGTTTAATTTCTCGTCGGAAATCCTCCTGAGGGGGGGGCACGCCCGACATAACGTTTGTCGCGCTTCGCGCTCCGAGGTCTGGGCGATTTCGGAGCGAGGCGGCGCGACGGCGCGGAGAGGAGTCGCGCTTCGCGCTGTCGCGGAGCGCGAGGAGCGAGGATGGCTGCCCCAGAAGTGAGGTGTGCACCCCCCGAGGGACGTGAGCATGTTCGGGTTCACGGATTCAAAAGCGAGCCCGGACTGGCGACCCCAATCGTCGACCTTGCGGTGCTTCCGACCAGTCAGTGCATTTGTTGCCCAGCTCGGGGATGGACGGCGGGGGGCGCCCATCCTCAAGAGGGGCTCGTCCAGACAGCCCCCCCTGGCTGTATTCCCGAGTTCCCGTGCTCGTCCCCAGTGTGCGCTTCGTTTTTCGGGGGGATTCGTGTTTTGTCTGTATTCCGCCCACCACCACCCTGTGGAGTTGGGTCCTCGTTTTGAAGAGACATCGCCCCGAGTCTTCCTCTCCTCCTCTTCCCTCCCCCTCCTCCTCCTCCTCCTCCTCCTCCTCCTCCTCCTCCTCCTCCTCCTCCTCCTCCTCCTCCTCCTCCTCCTCCTCCTCCTCCTCCTCCTCCTCCTCCTCCTCCTCCTCCTCCTCCTCCTCCTCCTCCCCCTCCCCCTCCTCTCGGTCCTCCTGCCGCTGCTCTCCGCATGTCTGCCTCGGCACACCCCTCGCGACGACCGAGTCCCCCCAGGGGGCTCCACCGAAGGCTTCAGCTGCAGGGTCCGCGTCGGCTCCCCGCCCACCGCGTGCCCATGTTGGCACACCCCTCGCACGCTTCGTGGCCCCTATCGTGAGCTTGACCGAAGGCCCCAGTGGCAGGGTCCACATGCGGGTGCCCGCCCACCGCGTGTCCATTTCGGCGCACTCATCACACGCTTCGTGGCCCCACCGGGAGCTTTACCGACGGCCCCAGCGGCAGGGTCCACGTGCGGGTCCCCGCCCACCGCATGCCCATGTCGACACACCTCTCACACGTTTCGTTGTTCCATGAGGCGCTCCACCGACGGCCCCAGCGGCAGGGTCCATGTGCGGCTCCCCGCGCACCTCTCACACGTTTCGTGATTCCAGGCGGAGATCCACCGAAGGCCCCAGTGGCAGGGTCCACCTGCGGCTCCCCGTTCACCGCATGTCCATTTCGGCGGAGCTCTCACACTTTTCGTAAGACCATTCTGGTACACCCCTCACGCGTTTCGTGGCCCTGTAGGGAGTTCCAGTTGTTTCCTCCCTTCTTTGAATGCCAAATCAGCAGGTTGTCCGAGCCTGGCTTGACATCTTCTAGCAATTTTGGTGTGTAGGAAGGAGTCCCATAATACAGCCAAACACAGTGCATCTTTACGTTCAAGGAAGTACACGTGGTGTTTTCGCACAGTCAGATTCAGAGGTGTCGTTCGTGACAGCGTCGGCCTGCCCCGTGTGGTTGGTTGTGGCAGGTCCTGAAGAGGATCGCCAACCACACGCTGGAACGCTGGAGACGAAATGGATCAGGGGTGCCCGAAAGAGTGGGCAGATTCAGTTGTAGACCAGACAGGAAACCAAAGGAAGTTGCGCAGTCAACTGTTTCTCGGCGGCCCTGGCGCGGCTTAGCCGTTACCAGGCGGTCCTGAGGCGGGTGTACAAATAATGCCTTGCACGTTGGTGCACTAATGCGGATATGCTTCGCGAGTGATTGGTTATCAGCCCAAGGTCTCTCCAGGAGCTCGTCTTCGGTGGTGCGGTTTTTGTCCCAACAGTCAGAGAGGTAACGCTGGTGTCTTTACTACAAAGGGGGCTTCGCAATGCACTTTGATTATCCACGAGCGCCTAAAGCAGGGGTCAGGTGGCTCACACCCCTTGGCCGTGGTTAGAGTCCGCTTAAGGAAAAAAAGGGAACACGCACCCGGCTCAGCCGCGGTTGGCGGCGGTGTCACGCAAGAGGGGGCAGCTGTTTCCTCCCTTCTTCGAAGGCCAAAACAGCAGGTTGTCCGAGCTTGGCTTGAGATTTGTCTGGCAAATCTGGTGTGTAGGAAGGAGTCCCATAATACAGCCAAACACAGTGCACCTTTACATTCAAGGAGGTACGCGTGGTGTTTTTGCACAGTCAGATTCAGAGGTGTCGTTCGTGACAGCGTTTGCCTGCCCCGTGTGGTTGGTTGTGGCAGGTCCTGAAGATGATAGCCAACCACGCGCCGAAACGTTGGAAACGGACTGCATCAGGGGTGCCCGAAAGAGTGGGCAGATTCAGTTGTAGACCAGACAGGAAACCAAAGGAAGTTGCGCAGTCAACTGCTTCTCGGCGACACTGGCGCGGCTTAGCCGTTGCCAGGCGGTCCTGAGG